AGTTGATATGTGCCTTTTAACTAGATGAATACTTGTATTTTGTAAAATCATCAAGAAGTTGTAGAAGATGAGAGGAAGGGCGTTGATATGTGCGTTTTTGTTTGGTTCAAGGTGTTTGATAAAAAGGCACAGGATAATATTTCAAATTGCAACAAAATTAGAGATACCTTTGTTGTTGTTTTTTATGTTCATTTTTAATCTTTTTAGTGTGCGCGGGCTTAAGTTCCATTTGTTTTTGCTATGATATATTTTTAGGAAGAAGAGGAAACGCTTGTTTTTTGTTTTTTTAATCGTGTTATTGATTTTTTAGCTCGTCTCAATTTGGACTTGTTTGTTGCCTTGTGTTCGTAGCTCAGCACTGTTTGAACTAATAACAACTCATTCAAGAGAACCCGGCTATGGAGAACGGTGAAATTCCTGAAAACGCCAATGAACGTATGCTTCAAATTCTCTTCCTCTTTTAGATCAAGTTGATTTTCCTGGCTTTTGTTATGTACAAGGTTACAATTTATTGAATTCATTGGTTTTGTTTTGTTCCTCAGATTGCCCAGGTCCTCAGTCAGAGTCTGCGGGAAAATCTGACTCCTGCCAAGGATGCCCTAATCAAGAAGCTTGTGCTACTGCCCCTAAAGGCCCCGACCCAGGTTTTAACCTTTTGCATTCTCTTTGTCTTTGTCTTTATATTTATAAGCTTTTATTTAATTGCTGGTTGCAACTTTTAATTAAATGTGAATTAAGTGTGATTGAAAGCTTTAGTAGATTTGGATGGAGTATGCTAGTTAGAAATCAATTTAGGATGATGTTTTATGTGAGTCCCACTTCATAGGTGTTTCTGTGTCAACTACAATTTGTTTCTTTCTGGTGAACAAAGTTTCAGTAGGACTCTTTTTTTCTTCCTGTTTTAAATGGTGTGGCTAGAAGCCAAAGTTTATTCAATGAATTGAACTCGACTGTAGGCAATTTCTTTTAAGTAATATTGGCTTGTCTCTTCATGTCCTTGGAGATTGAGGGATTATGTTACATTTTAGATAGCAGTGTGACCTAAAAACTAATCATATAGTGTGGTGCTGTTGAAGAGATTGGAGATATTATCACACAAGATGATATAGGATCACTTTTTGGCTTTCTTAAATTTTTGCAGTGTGGAATCACTTTGGTGTGTGGCCCTACATGTTGTGGATTTGATTTTTAGCAGATTTATAGTTTACTGCTGTGCAAGTGTTGCTTTTTTATTTATGGGGCTGTGGTTTGTGTAATGCAGATATCAGATCATGTATTGGTTAGATTTTAAAGTCACCTATTAGTTCAGTTGAAGTATGCATAATTGTGATAGTTACAAGTCTCTCAAAGTCTAAACTCATGCACCATTAATTTGTTAGTCTTCAAGATACTTTTTATTAGCTGTTAATTTAATTAGTTTTGAGAGAATTTTAATTAATATTTACTTTTATCTATATTTAGAAGTATGTTGATTACAAGGAAATTCTCTTACTGACGCCTGTCAATAGAGTTGAAATAAATATGATGCTACTGAGATCAATGTAGTTGTGGTGATCTCAAATTCGATTTAATTTTTCTTTGCATGTGAGAAGTTCTTTATTATGTTTCCAGTTAAAACTTAATGTGTTTTAAGTGTGATAGTTGTTGAGTATGAAGGAATAACAAGTATTACATGACCTTATCTATTATATTTGAAGGTTGGAAATCAGGTAAAGGTTGTGTGCACATAATCTTGTCAAGAGTGTAAAAATATTTCAGCTTCTCAAACTCACATCTTTAGGTTTAAATTTCACCTTTTGGGTTTAAATGGACTACCATCTTAGGCCGTACTGCATGTTTGAAAGCAATGATTAGTCATTTCCTGTATGCCAGAGTGAATATAATCCAGAACCCCAAAAGTGAAGAATATAGTTCACTTTTGTTTCTGATTAAAATTCTGTTACTATTCTTTTTGAACGTAAATATCTCTTTTGTGCTTTAACTTACCTCCCATGGAAATTGTAGCTGTGAGAAGAAATGTTTTAAATTTAATATGATGGGTTTGCCATCACTGATGCAAATTGTTTCTTGTACAAGTGATCGCAGCACTTATTTTTCATATCTGCTTAACTATTATGCCTTGACCATATTGTTCCTCTCATGAATTGTTTATTTATTTAATATTTTATGTATTGGTTTCCGCAGATTTGGTTGCTATTGCTGAACGAATGGCTACAGTTAAGCACAAGATATTGGTTCTATCAGGGAAGGGTGGAGTTGGAAAAAGCACATTCTCTGCACAGCTCTCATTTGCATTAGCAGCTATGGACTTCCAAGTTGGTCTCCTGGACATAGACATCTGCGGCCCTAGTATCCCAAAGATGCTTGGCCTAGAAGGTCAAGATATTCACCAAAGCAACCTTGGTTGGTCTCCTGTTTATGTGGAATCCAACCTTGGGGTTATGTCCATTGGATTTATGCTACCTGACCCTGATGAAGCTGTCATATGGAGGGGACCTCGGAAGAATGGACTCATCAAGCAATTTCTAAAGGATGTATATTGGGGAGATATTGACTTTTTAGTTGTTGATGCACCACCGGGGACTTCAGATGAACACATCTCTATTGTCCAATTCCTCCAGGCTACGGGAATAGATGGTGCGATCATTGTAACTACACCTCAACAGGTTTCTTTGATTGATGTGCGTAAAGAAGTGAATTTTTGCAAGAAAGTTGGAGTCCCAGTTCTTGGGGTTGTTGAGAACATGAGTGGCTTATGCCAGCCATTAACAGATTTCAAATTCATTCGGGGAACGGAGAATGGCGAGCAGATAGATGTGACGGAGAAAGTGATAAAGTATATGAGAGAAAAGGCACCAGAAATGTTAGACTTGATTGCCTTGAGTGAAGTATTTGATACAAGTGGTGGCGGTGCGGCAAAAATGTGCATGGAGATGGCTGTACCATTCCTCGGTAAGGTACCTCTAGATCCAAAGCTTTGCAAGGCAGCAGAAGAAGGAAGATCTTGCTTTGCTGATCAGAAATGTGGGATGAGTGTCCCTGCATTGAAGAGTATTATCGAGAAACTACTGGCTGCAAACCAGTGGAACCAAGAACTGCAAATGAACGAGTAAGATGATTGTCCATCACTGATTATCTTCGCCACCTGATTGCAGCGGATCGAACTTTTTTTTACGTCTTTGTTTAGACCTTATTTATAGTTCTCGTTAGACTTTTTTTTCTAAAAAATTTTATGCGATTTACAAATATTGTTCAAAGGTGCTCAACTTACCATAAATCATTTTGGTTTGTGGTACTTGAACTGTCTTGTATTATAAGATCCTTGTATTTACTTATACAATAACACTACTCTTACAAAAGGCAAATACAAAGAAGGCTTTACAAATTTTGGCCTGTGTCACTAGTTTAACTTTTATGATCCAATGATTTAATATTGGTTTATGTTGGCTTTCATAATTTGATTTTTATTACATTTCTCTCTTAAAAAACTTACTAATTATTAATCATTGTATTTACTTGTATCTGAATTCTTGTTTTACTTTGGAGTTTTGATATATGTGCTGTCAAACTAAATTTTATTAATTATTATATATATAGTTCAATTAAGATATTGTATGAAAATATGATTTTTTGATACCATTTGAAAAACTGGAAGAACGCTAAAAGTTTAAAAATTTAAAAGAAAATGTTTGTATTAACGTCAGAAATATCTAATTTTATTCCTTGAAAATAAAAACTAAAAATTACCGCGCGAAGATTCACTTATAACAACTGCCGTACCTACTTTATCTAACTACTATGGGCCCATCTAATTGCCACCACCGACCGATAAGGAATCCACACGTTTCAAAAAATCACCAACGGTAACTCTAGAACTAACTCAGCATTTTAAGACCCATGTTTTTACCGATTCCAAACAGCTGATACCCTGAAACCACAACTATAAACTCTAATCACGTGACAAAGCACGTTTCTCGAGATCAACGGTGATTATGTGGACCATCATTTATCTATGATATTATTTCCTCCGAAAAGCTCATCCTTCTCGCGGTCTCGGAACATCCGATCTGGACTAATCCGCTACTTTCCCATTTTACCCTTCCAGTCTCTTCCTTGTATAAACCAAATAACTTTTCAATATTCTCTTCGTATCACTCTGTGTTTCGGCATTATAACTGTATCTCATCATGGCCAAGATCAAGATTGGGTTAACGGTATACATTTCTTCTCAATTCTCTTAATATGTTCACGTTATTTAATTCTACAAGTTTACACGTTCAGATGTTCTGTTTTATCTTTTTTCGTTGATTTTTGTTTTTCTTTTTTGATGAAGGATTCGGAAGAATCGGAGTTTGGTGGCGAGAGTTGCTTTGCAAAGAGACGACGTTGAGCTTGTCGCTGTCAATGATCCTTTCATTACAACCGACTACATGGTACGGGCTTTTACTGTTATAATCTATATATAATAAAATGTTGCTCCATGTACACGTGTATATTTATATACACACACACACAATAAGAAGATGAGATGATTTGAAGCCTCTAATAAAATTGAATACAATGTGCTGACGATGATTTAATTGGGAGATGTAGACGTACATGTTCAAGTATGACAGTGTTCATGGGCAATGGAATACAATGTGCTGACGATGATTTAATTGGGAGATGTAGACGTACATGTTCAAGTATGACAGTGTTCATGGGCAATNAGCAACCAAGGTGGAGATGCGTTAATGGCGGGAGGAAGAAGAAGGTGTTTGGGTTTGTTTGCAAGAATTTCATGTTTTTGGGAATATAGTATAATTTTTAAAAGATTACATAATACTTCTTTAATCCTAATTAAGCACTAATCAAGTTTAATTACCATTAATCAATAATATGGCTATTTAGTTAAAACTTTAAAACTTGATAGCCTATTAATTAAATTCAAACTTGAGAGGTCGTTTTAATAAATTGCCCTTGAAAGTCAGTATATACTGGGTTTGGAAAGGTTGAAATTTGCTTCTTGGTAATATGTTTGATTGTTTCATTGTTGTGAGTATGTGTTTGTAGTTGTAGAGGTATTGAGCTATGAATGTCAGTAACTTATTTTAGGAGTTCAAGACTTATGTTCTGTTAAAATGAGCATACACATGAATTGACAGTGTGTGTTTGGCAGATGTCTGTAGACTTGAAACGTGGAGAAACACTTCCTATTCACATAAACATGACATTTCCTTCTTTACCTTGTGATGGTTGGTCTGTATGAGTGTGTTACTATTTCTAAAAATTGAATATAATCTGTTTGCTGTATGCAAATTTCAATGATTTGGGATGTTTTACATGTGCACAGGATGTTGAAGAAGGGTGTTGATGAAGGAAGATGGTCTGAAAATTTTGTCTAGCAGAAAGGCATAACACCAGAAGGAAGATGGAATTATGTCTAGTTTTTTACAGTTTGAAACTGATTGTTGTTCTTTCACTTTTACTTCAGAACTGATTGAGTGGTTTAAGCTTTGATTAAGATCGAGACACACAGATATTAATAAGCATATAAATTATTTTGTCTCAAGATTAGCTTCAGCTATTTTAATTGATATGTAGCATGATTTTATATTAAGTTGCAAAACTATGTGGTTTGCCTGAATAAATTTTAATGCTATGAAAAATTGAAAACTAATCTTAATTTCACATTACAACACGCTGTGAAGAGAAATCTCCAACCAATTCAAATACTTTTATTGCAACTTTAGCTGCTTTTAAATTTCGGAGCTTGGCTATTCAAAAATCTGCAAATCTGCAACCTATTCAAAAATCTGCAAATCTGCAACCTATTCAACAATCTGCAAATGAGCTTGGCTCGAGCTCAAGCTCAACTCGACTCGGCTCATTATACAATAAATTACTCGAGCTGAGCTCGAGCTCACCCCTTCTCTTGACGAGCCGAGCTCGAGCCAGCCACGGCTCGGCTCGGCTCGGCTCGTATGCACACCTAGTTATTATTTGCACCCATTTTCCTCAATTTCAATGTAATTAGAGTATTTGTTACACTACTTCTCCCCAATTTCAAACTCAATTAGGGTTTTTGTTTTATATCACTTTTCACTAATTTCTTAATCAGGTGTTCTGTTTATAACTTTTTTTTCTTAATTTCAAATTCGAAATTTACTTTTTCTTCTTCCAAAGGGACCAAACTCTGATTGCAAGAATACGCAGAACCTATTTCCAAATCAAACCTGCCATCACTTTCTTTATAGTAACCAAAGTTTTCCTTAAAGTTTGGAAGTTCAAGGCAATAAGGAAGCTCTAAACATAATCCAGTAGACTGCCCAATACAGCTTGAGGGGGTGAAATCTGTTGCCCTGGCCCATTTATCATCAGGGTCATCCTTAAAGAAGTTAAATAAAGGGTCTTCAAATTCATCATAAGAAAAGCGTGTTTCTTTCTCAAAAATCTGGGGAGCACCAAGTAGCTTAAAATCAAAAGAAACCCAAAAATAATCCTTTATAGTCANAGTTTTATGTTAATAAAATTTTGTTATTAAGAAAAATGAGGAGCAATTTAGTAATGCTAATTTCTCTCATAATTTTAGATTATTCAGAATTCTGTGTCCAAGCTATAGGAGTTCAAATACTAGGAAATAGGGATTTGTAAATTTTTTATCTTTTTATGTCCAATGGGGTGCTTTGGTCAATGAGTTGATATGTGCGTTTTAACTAGATGAATACTTGTATTTTGTAAAATCATCCAGAAGTTGTAGAAGATGAGAGGAAGGTAGTTTGCAATATTGTTTTTATAGTATATCTGTGGCCACCAAGTTCAAGGATCTCGAGCAATCCTTACAAGTATGTGGAGACTGATGGGTCATTTATGCTTTTCAGATGATTTTCCATGCTTAGTGTTAATTAATTTGGCGTTTTATTTTTAGTTTTTGCTTCGATGTTGAAAAGTAAATGTTTGTTGACATTGTTTTGGAGATTAAAAAGTTGAACCGTAAAGAAGTGCTCATTACATTGTCTTTGTTTTCAATTTAACTTTGAATTTGCTGCTCCGTTCATAAAATCTTAAGTTTTGTGATTCGTGATGTTTGATCTTGAACAATGTTCTTCTCATTGAGAAAATTATGGCTTTATATTCAGCATTTTTTTGGCTTTCAAACAGAGTTTTTGAAAGTGTCCTCGATGAGTTTATTTGTCATTATATGCTCTTTTATTTTTTTTCCTGATAACTGAGAAATCTAGTGGATGGCATCAGTTCTGAAATTGGCGATTAGTGCTAGCTTACTAGCTTCAGTGGTTCGGAAAGTTGTGATATAGAATAGCCCTGGTAGGATATCTCAAGGGATTTGAACTTCCCTAAATCTCAATGCTCATGGCGTAAAGCTTTTTAACCACAATCATAACACCCAGCGCTGAAAGGAGAGGAATTTAGATATAGTCAAGTTGTAGAAAATGGAGTTTAATAAAATATGCTGGACTATTTGTTCTTGCACTTGATTCCATCATTTAATCATTAACATTGATGTTGCAGGATAAAGTTATGGCAATGAACAATATCAGATCATTGAGAAGCTTCATTATTATAAAGGAGACAGTTGGGGAGGTGGGCCAACGAACATTTGCAACTGGGAAAGCAAAGAAAGGCGGTAAAGGAGGTGCAGCCAGCGATGCCCCAAAAGCATCAATATTGAGCAAAGAAGTCAAGTCTACAACAGTAGTTGGTGCCAATATTCTTAAGGATGGGACAGATCCTAAGATCTTGGCAGATTCTGAATACCCTGACTGGTTGTATCATCTGCTTGATAAACGTCCAGCTTTGAGCGAACTAAGAAGGAAGAACATTGAAACTCTTCCTTATGAAGATCTAAAACGTTTTGTCAAGCTGGACAATCGAGATAGGATCAAGGAAAACAACTCTATGAAGGCCAAGCACTGATACAAAGAGAAAATAAAAAATTCTGTGGGAAGCATGATTTCTTTGTCGAGTGTTATGAATCTTTTCTTCTGGGATTCCTTCAATGTAATTGACTGGCACATTGTAGAATCATGAAATATAATTGAAGGGAAAGCAGACATGATTTAACAGATCTCTGTTGCTATAACTTCATTTTCGTTCGCTTCTTTCTCCTTTTCTTTTCTTTAGAACCTTAGTTACTGTTCAGAATATAAATTTACAATGTCATTGGTGAAATCATTTGAGTTGTTGCCTTAGCACTGTTGCAAAACCCTACAATGTTCTACTTTCTACTTGCCTGATAGTTAGGCTTTGACCCAGTGTAAATTTATCTAACATTATTACAGTTGTCATAATGATTTGTTGTTTATGCCATATAAGAAGAGAGGAAGGCATTGTTATAGAGTCCCATTTATGCTACGGCTTATACAGATTATCCACTCTACTTGCATCATGACATTAATTGAATCTCATTTTCCTTCCATGCAGACCTCTCTTAGATGTGTTATTCTGCCATATAATTATAATCTTCTTTCGGTGTTTTATATAAAACACCTACTCTTCTTCAGAAGAAAGGGAACCCAGAAACATCAATGGGATCCGAACTCATTAAATTGTCCGGTTGTTAGTCTAATATGCGTAGAGACGCGATTGCATCACAGCGATGTACAGGTTCACTGCATTATTCAATTGGGTCCAAAGTAATGTCCTTGCCATCAAACTTAAGAGGTGGAATCAACCTCCTCCTGTCCCCCTTTCCCAACTTAACAATGGTGGGGCATCGAGGTTTTTTATTCTAAGAGATTCGCGTCATNATCATGACATTAATTGAATCTCATTTTCCTTCCATGCAGACCTCTCTTAGATGTGTTATTCTGCCATATAATTATAATCTTCTTTCGGTGTTTTATATAAAACACCTACTCTTCTTCAGAAGAAAGGGAACCCAGAAACATCAATGGGATCCGAACTCATTAAATTGTCCGGTTGTTAGTCTAATATGCGTAGAGACGCGATTGCATCACAGCGATGTACAGGTTCACTGCATTATTCAATTGGGTCCAAAGTAATGTCTTTGCCATCAAACTTAAGAGGTGGAATCAACCTCCTCCTGTCCCCCTTTCCCAACTTAACAATGGTGGGGCATCGAGGTTTTTTATTCTAAGAGATTCGCGTCATTGCTTTTCCATTTTCCTCCTTCCTTGTATCATCGACTTGGTGGCTCATCTCATGTCATAAATAGACTTATTAACTCCTATTGGTACCGTAAGTTTAAGTTTTATCCCTTCACTTTTGTTTTGGCTTCATCTTGAACTGATCAAATATTTTACCTAGTAATATTATTATTGTATTAGTACATAACTAGGTCCATAAACAGTACCATTAGTTCTTGATAACAATTAAATTTTTTAATAGTACCCGTCGAACAGTTGTCAAGGGTCGATAATGTTACCAAGATTCAACTATGATAATACAGTGATCCCAATTATCTTTTTTATGCTTATGATTAAGTGGTCCAGATATCTTGATAATAGAAGATGAAATTCATCAGGTATGAGTCGATGATATTGTAGTCCAACCCAAAATAGTCAGAGTGTTAATGCATTGGGACTGAGTGGTTTGGTAACATTGAGACTGCCCATGTGAAGAGTGAGGTTTCGTATAAAGCAAAGAAAGAGACTAATGGAAGCATGAAAATTATACGAGACAGGGATATGAAATTTGACATAACATGGATTATTATTGTTTAAAAAGCAAAGTTTACACAACCTTTATACAGCCTTTTGAATAGCCATTCTCAAAAAGTTAAAGCTGCCCTGCCCTGCCCCCTCTTCACATCACATGGCCTTCTTTGCTTTTTGAGTTGGGTTGGGTGCTTCAATTGATCAACATCCAATTGACAAACGCATTTGGCTTTCCTTCAGCCTAGACAACACTCCTCACCAAATCTTAATTGTGATCTTTCTTCCATGTTTTGTCCAAGCTCATTAAAGTGACAAGGCCGCCAAACAAACTAATATTCAACCTCACGTTATAAGCTTTAGAAACAATATCAAATCACATGCCACAATGCAGAGTGTTTAATCCAATGTCAAATATAAAATTGGTTAGATCTTTCAAATTATAAACACGTTTATGATGGAAAGATAGAATTACTTAATAAACAAATCTTTTCTTAACTGGAGCGTTCGAACAAACCTCCTTGATCATCAGACTAATCCCTTGGAGTTAACTATTGTCATATTAGTAAATACAGAAAAGTAAAAATGAAAACGAGACTATATGGCACAAGATATTTGATAGGTTGTTGAATTAGAAATCAAGCATTTTCAAAATCAACTCTCTAGTACAAAGCGGCATGAATCATGAACTCACCACAGAAATCATTTAAATCCTCAAACAGCTTTCTCTCATGCCGAATAAGTATGTTTGCACATTGTTTGAATGCATTGAAGAATGTTAAATAAGTAGATGGCTGGTGCCTGGTGGGTTTAAAAGAATGTCAGCATCTGCGGCTTCATTTTTGTCAGAGGATTATGGTGATCTTAACACCGATATATCTTCCCACAATAAACATGACAAATGGTCGGTGGGTGGGCTGACAATACATTTATTCATATTATATGGTTGAAGAAATGAAATATATTGGGGTCAGCTGGTGTAGATTTTATAGAAGTTGAGTTGCACAAGCCACCGTCCATTCTTAATTTCATTTTAATTTTAGACCAAATCTTCACGAAGGAGATGAAGTTCTTGAAATATTAGAAGTTAATGAGGCCTGCATTAGACTTGTGTTCAATTATTAGGAGTAAAAAAAAAAAAAATACCCTTCTTCTTCTTCTAAAGCAATTTTTTATATTTACTCAACTCTACTGTCACTCTCATGGAAACAGAATCATTTGACTGAAACAAAAAGGATGAATTAACTATTTGATTATCAATTTAAGAGATTATGGGATCGCTAATTTAACAATGTTGGGATAATTAATTAAGCTAATTATAGCTTAAGATATGAATGTACAGTAAAATCTTGGAGTCACTGTTGCAGCTTGCCACCCCTATGATAACTCCTAAGAAAAGTTAAGTTAAAGCCTCTCTCTCTCTCTTTAATCTTTATCCACCCCATCTATTACCATCATTATCTCTACATCCTCAACAACATTATCAAACTATATAAAAGGAATCTTACCTTATTATAATGTTTTTCATTTTATTCTAAATATTTTTTATTATTATTTGTTCTCCACCATGAAAAGCCTAAAATCATGTTGAAGACCAATATCTGTTCCTGTCTTGTTCTTGCAACACTTTTATTTTGGCCCTTATAACTATTTTCTTCTACTCAAAGGGGCATGCATGCTAGCTTTTCCAGCTTCCTTTGTGTGAGTAATCATTTCTATTTCCTTTCTAATATCATCTATTTGATATTGTTTATTTATTTTTCCCATCACTTCTTGTCATCTTCACTCTGGCTACAAGTATATTTCTTTGTTTTCACATGTTGTTCATCTGTTCTTCGTTTTCTTTTTCAGATATCTCAGGTTAGGTTCCATTGCTTTTGTTAATATTAAGAACTTATTCTCAGTTGTCTTCTTGGGCATGCTTTAAAGGTTTTTCTTTGTTTGCACACTTGTCTTTCAATACCCTTTTTCTTTAACTCTTGCATGTCTTGTTAGTTGATAATTTTTTGCCTCATAAATCTGGTTGTAGCTCTACTTGTACTAGCGGTATTAAATTTTCTGCTTTATATCCCGACTTTGAATAGGTTAATATTTGTTACACCTTCAATCTGAGATTCAGAAGAGTTTGGTTATTATATTTATTTAGTATAACTACTTCTTGGTTTACCTTCTTTATCTTAGTCTTTCTGCTGCTAGTTTCTCAGGCATGAATTTGTTCCAAGGGGCTCGGATTATTATAACCAAAACAGATCAGTAGTTGCAGTATCTTCTTGTTGAGTTTTGCAAAATTGTGCTTCCATTTTGGATTGTTTTCCCCGAAAGTTAGGATATTTTGTTCTAGTTGGATCCTATTAGCTCTATTTTGTATCAGAAGATGCCTCCTACATACTTTCCTCTTCGCTGGGAGAGCACTGGAGACCAATGGTGGTATGCTTCTCCTATTGATTGGGCAGCTGCTAACGGCCACTATGACTTGGTTAGGGAGCTTCTTCGCATTGACAGCAATCACCTTATCAACCTCACCTCTCTCAGGCGAATTCGCCGCCTTGAGACTGTGTGGGATGATGAAGCACAGTTTGATGATGTTGCCAAATGTCGTTCCAAGGTTGCTAGGAAACTGTTTCTTGAGCGTAAATCCAAGAGTGGAAAGAATTCTCTGATTAGAGCTGGTTATGGTGGATGGCTTATATACACTGCTGCCTCGGCTGGGGACTTGGGCTTTGTTCAAGAACTTCTAGAAAGGAACCCACTCCTTGTTTTCGGAGAAGGGGAATATGGTGTTACTGATATACTTTATGCTGCAGCCAGGAGTAAAAACTGTGGTGTTTTCAGGCTAGTCTATGATTTCGCTGTATCTCCGCGGTTTTTGACAGCAAAAGGTGGAGAGTTTGAGGAGAACATTGGGGATATTCCTTCTGTTTACAGGTGGGAGATGAAGAATAGAGCCCTTCATGCTGCTGCTAGAGGAGGAAATTTGAAGATCTTGAAGGAGCTTCTCGGTGATTGCACCGATGTTCTGGCTTTTAGAGATAAGCAGGGCTCAACTATCTTACATGCAGCTGCTGGTAGAGGCCAGGTTGAGGTGAGGCCCCAACTACTTCTTGCTTGTGTGTTGTTTGTTTAAGAGTCTTTCGAAGATCGCCCTTTTCTAGCTTCTACAGTTTTAATTCTGATTACTCAGTTTAAATGGTTGATAATTATATCTGACTCACTTGAAGATAATAAACTAGATTTTTGTTTAAAGTAGTATTATAAGAAGGAAACGGAATAAGATCTAATTAGCGAACGTCTAATATATTTTTATCCATGGATATAATGAGATTAGGAATAACAGGGCCCCAGTTTATGATAACTCACAGAAAATGTCTTGTGATCCTAGGAGTTAGAGAACTAAAGGAAATGGTTTGCAGGTTGCACAACTATAATTGTCCTAGACTCTTCCAAGTCTCCGGATTGCACAAAGTTTACTTGTTAGGAGAATCAAGTCAACAAAGTTTTCACCATTTCTTAGATGATCACAAATCCAAGTAGGTAGCAGATGATCACAAAGTTTAAACATTCACCTTTCACTGCAAAGTGAAAGAGATGCTTTAATCGGTTACTCTGAAAAGTTATGGTCACTTTGGTACTATCTATAAGCTTTCATATCCATAAAAGTGCATTTCTCAGATGTCAAGGGTTAGTGGATGCTCAGATCTCCCCCCAGCAAATCATAAAATATTTTCTCTATGGAAATTAAAATCTACCAATATTCAGATTATATGCTTTAAATAATGTTCTTGAAGAAAGTATTTATAGTCATTATTGTCATTGTTGCAGATAGTGAAAGATATTATAGCATCATTTGATGTCATCAACTCCACAGACCATCAAGGCAACACAGCATTGCATGTTGCAGCCTACAGAGGCCAACTAGATGTGGTTGAAGCACTGATTTTTGCATCTCCACCTCTGATCTCCTTAAGAAACAGTGCCGGAGAAACTTTTCTCCACACAGCAGTCTCTGGTTTCCAAACTCCTGCTTTTAGAAGATTAGACCGACAGGTTAAGCTCATGAAGCAGTTGGCTTGTGGGACAATTTCCAACATTGAAGACATCATCAATACCAAAAGCAATGATGGAAGAACTGCTCTTCACATGGCCATCATTGGGAATGTTCATTCTGAACTGGTGCAACTCTTGATGTCTGCTCCATCGATTAATATAAACATGCGTGATAATGATGGCATGACTCCACTTGATCTCCTCAAGCAACGACCACATTCTGCTTCATCAGATATACTAATCAGACATTTGATTTCAGCTGGGGGAATATTTGGAAGCCAGGATTATTCTGCACGAAGAGCCATTGCCACCCACTTAAGGATGCTAGGGAATGGAAGCAGTCCCGGAACTTCATTTAGAATCTCTGACACAGAAATATTCTTGTATACAGGCATTGATATTGATGGCAATGTTGCTGATCCAGGTAGTGGAAGAATAAGTCCATCTTCAACAGAACTGAATCAATTTGAGAACCAAAGCTCATCAGTTGATAAAAAACCAAGTTCAGTAAACATTGCAGCACAACGACTGAAACGTGTCTTCCACTGGCCCAAACTGAAAGAGAGAAAGAAATCAGTAGACGAAGGCTCAGTGGAAACATACAAGAAATGTAACACATCAGATGAAACTCCAACTCCGCTGCGACAGAGATTTTCGAAGCCTTTATCAGCTCCTAACCACAAAAGGACACTATCAGTGAGGAGCAACCAATCGAGCCCGACTGCCAAGAAGAAGTTTGCTTCAGGAATATTGCATGGAGTTGTACAGGCCATGCCACAAGTAACTGTTCCAGGTCGCTCCCGTTCAAGTTCCTTTTCAAAATCATCCATATCTTCTCCCAATTCAATGGATAAACAAAAGGGTGTTTTCATTGACAATGAAGTTGCTGGACCATCTTGCTCCAATCAACTATTTGATGATGAAACACCAAATACAATTCGGAAACAAGACTCCAAGAGGTTGAAGAGCCAGTACTTCTGCTTCGGTGGATCAGGCCTGAATGTGAAAACGCCAGTGAGCAGGCCACGACAGAACCAGAACATCAGTCCTTCCATTGTCTCAGTGGCTTGAGAGGCAGCTGCGTCGATCATATGAACAATAAACTTACTAACATAGAAAAGGCTAAGCAAGTTCTTGCATAATATGTGAAAGTTTATGTACTTGTTAGTTCATTGTCTGTCCAAATTAAGTTTCATGTTGTACTTGAAACAAGTTAGAAATGTAATATGTTTCGTAGTTAGAATTTCATGTTGTATCTGCTAACTTCTGGTTAGTGTCTGAGAGAAGAGGGAGATATGAGATGGAGGAGAACTGGAGAAGAGATTAAGCAATACGGTAGTTTATTGCATCATGAATTGGCTCCTCATCTTGTAAACAAAACAAAAGCTTCATTGTCTATCAGCTGAAAAGTAAAATTCTTCAATAGTTAAATTCCTCAAACTCAAAGCATCTCTTTTTATGTAAAGAATTATGGGCTGCTTCCATGAATGGAAACTTTGTTGGATGCTGCAATTCTTGCTGCCTGGTAGTGAAAAGAAGAAAAGGGCCTGTTGTTGAATGGATCACCCCAATAAATTAGAGGTGAGGCGCAACCGGCCCAGGCTCATCAACAAACTCCATGCTAATTACAAAAGGCCCGCTCATCGAACACAATCATTCATTCTCTGCAGAACAATGAAGAACGCGCTCTAAACTGTCTGAGTCAACTCATTACCCATTAGCTACTGCAAACTCTATGATGCTAAATCCTAAAAACACATGCCACAGGACAATAATGATCGCCTCTTCTTTTTTTAAGCTTCCCCCAACTAAGAAGTTTTCACATGGCCTCAAATTCTTAAGCCAGTAAATAATTTCCTATTTAATCTTTGTGTCAAGTAAACATCATTTTCTTTTCCGAAAATAATTGGACAAAACCTGACAACCAAAATGATATTTTCTGCAACTCTCTCAGCTTCCGAGAAAATACTTCAAAATGGCTCTACATTTTCCTGATTGAAAATGATGGAGATATTTTTTGAATTACCTGTTACTTAAAAACATTTTGAAGTAAATGAAGTCAACTGTGTAGCTCATAGGGCAATGCTATTGCATCAGGGTATGCTTAATTAATGAAATTCTTGCAGCTAACATCATCAATCTTCCAAAGTAGTGGTCAACTCTTGTGATCTGAATATTTTGCTGATTCCACAAACAACTGAATTTGAAATATTGGCACTTGGGTACAATTATTTATATGTCAAATTTCGGCTTTTGAAAATGTTTGATTGAACCAGGTTCAGCGAACGGTTTCGATTTGCTATTTTAAGAAACTAGTCAATAAGTTTTTATTGGCCAAGGAATCTTTTGAAGATTAATTAAAATTAATTTTATAAATAGCCAGTAGTAAATCAAAACAATTAATTTATTTTGAAAATATTCTCTGTGACTTTACCTGATTCATAATGTAAATGATCAAATAATAGGGAAAGCAGGGTGGGGACTTATGGGTGTATATTGTAGACTCGAATATCAAAATGTTTTAAAGTGTCATTGACTTGAGAAAATGTTGCCGGTCCAAGTCGTTATGTAAAAGCTATTATTGGAACGCTCAAATTTCCACGAAGTAGAGTGGCCGTTTCTGATAAATGGACTTCGGAGAGAGATATTTTGAGTTGTTAATGGCATAAAGCCGAAGCCCACTTGTTGAAAAGACTCCCAAAATTAATCCCAATTATGAATAATAAAAGCTCATTCCAATATGAACACAAGGTTTAGTCGACCCATACTTGATATTTTATTGAAGCTGAAAATGATGAAAGTGTAAGGGAGATCTAATGTAATATATTTGACCAGCTTTACTTTAACTGAAGAAAACCATAACTAGATTCTCATTAGCTTTATCCAAAGATGAAGGGAAGTCAACTTGGCCTTCTGATTTTAAGCAATATGTGTATAATGTATTACAGTTGGTTTGGAAAATCAAATTTGGTGGGCTAGATATTCAAATGAAAGACGGCATAATAGTTTAGTTTTAGTTTCGATTTTTGATGTTACACTTGGTACTCAACCGTACACTTGGACTGCTTTTTATTTGTTGAGAATTACTTATAAATTTATGAAGGTTCCTCCCATCCCATATCATATTATACAAATATTCAAGTTGAAACCTCTCTTTCAACGTCTGAATTACAGGGTATAAATGGAGAGTTGAGTATGGTGAGAATTTTAATGATCATTATTTACAAAATTAATGAACCATTTTATTTATACAGTTTGTTTAAGATGGAAATGAGTGGATATGTTAGAAAAATTTAACGGCGGTCAATGTGGCACATGCTAATTAATTAGTAGAAAAATCTTCACGTTCTTGCGATGATATAATTTGGTAAGTAACTGTGAAGAAAACAAATTAAAATACGCTAAATATTAGACTAAGACTTTTCAATATTTAAAATGTTTTTCTCATTTCCCTAGGGAATAATTTACATCACTTTTTGGTGGTGATATATAAATTATTGTGGGTATCATGTGATCAGCAGATTGAAGAGAAAGGGATCTTCTTTTTGTATTCATTTATTAATGAAAGATTATCCTCAAGTATTAAAGAAAACAATTGACCTTATATATATTATATACACTGGTTTTGTTCATGTAGCGTCGGATTTTGAGGAGCAATCAATGGAGCTTAAATAATAATGGAAATTACCCCCCCATCATCAACGATTGAGATTCCAAAGGATTCTGCTTGCTAATTTCCTATGACAGTTGTGGGCGACAGCTTCGACAAATAACAATAGATTTATGAATACATTCACATATATAATTAATAGAATGTGCACAAACTACAAAGTACCGTATTCTTTAGAGTTAAAAAAGAAAAAAAAAATAAAAAAAGGGTTATTATCATACTAACGTCCAAACCTATCTCATCACGTCACCTTTACTGAATTTTCATGAATAATGGAGAAAGCGGCAACTTTTTTGATTTTTATGTGAATTCTTTGACTATTGATACCAAGAAACCCCTAATAAACAAACTTCTCTGTGGACTTTTAAGAGGACAAAAAATATTCAAAATGAGAGGTGGAAGAGACCTATCACATTAACGTATTCCATAATTAACATTTGTATTAAAAAGAAAATCAATTATGATCATAAGGTATATAAATAACATGAACAGAAAACAAAATTTGAGGAAATGAGAAAGGTAAAATGGTCAATGGTCAGCATTCACGGGGGCTCGTATAATCCGCTGATCGCAGCCTGCAATTGAAACAGATGAACAATAATATGTAAATACATTTGGGTTTAAAGATAAGTTATCACCAAATACAAAGAATGTTGAAAGTCATAAGTCATACAACAAACACTTCAAAAGTGCAATTATATTATATAATATATAATTTGAATTTGGAAATTTCTTGATTTAAACTCTGAAAGTGGGTGTACTAGAGTTTATCATGATAATCATTGTGTCAATGGTGGTGGTGGGTAGACTATTAGAATCAAAGGCGTCTTTCATCAAATAGATTAACCTATATTATCATTATCTCCATTATTGATACGTTTTTACCTATTTACTTTAATTTATTTTATCTATATCTATTGTCACAGGGTTCTATAAATTTTCATCAATTATTAAATAGGTTTACATAGAATATTTTATCTAAAATAAATGATTATCCTACTATGGATTAAAGAGATATGATTGTTTAAACAATGAAATGAAATCTTTAAATATTAATATTATATTTATTTACATACTAATTCGCTTAGAACCGTTTCTGATGAGATACAGCATTGCCGCAGTGCAGGATGGCATATTCAAAATACCTTAAACCCCATGCTGTGATGGAGAAGATATCATTTCCAACGATCCCGGAATTGTCTATTGTCGTCATTTAAGATTGGTAGTGGGTTGGCGCCGCCCCACCACGCACTATATGAAAAAGCTTTCAATGTTAATCGACTATGATTATTATCATCCACCATTAACATGGCTGCTTTCTTCCCAATCTTTTGGAAAAGCAACAGTTTCCACCATTACCAACAGTGAATAGAAAGTGTGTGAGAAAAATCTGGATAATCGATCCATACAAGATATACATATAAGGAATGCCAAATATAATATTTCAAAAATATTACTTTCAGAGGACGTTTGGTTTAGAGAATGTTGGATTACTTGAAAGATAGATTACCTTGAAAATTACTGAAAATCTTTAGAAAAATGTATTTGGTTAATTGGTGGGTATGTTATATTAAATGTTTGATTGGGAGGAATAAATTGGTGGGTATGTTATTTAAATTACTTAATTGTCCTCTAATTAAATATTATTATTATATTATTTTTTAATATTATTATTATTTGGATTACTATAAACCCCCTATATTTAAAAACTTAGCAAAAACAACCCCATAATAAAAGTTTGGAAAATCAACAAAACACCTCCCACCAACCCAGCCACTGCCAGCAACCACCGCAAGTCGTTGGCAACCTAACGTCGCACGGAAGGCCGAAAATGGATGTCGTGTGCCGATATGGCTATTTCTGGCCAGATTGAATACGGATCTAGCTGTCAACGGCCAGATATCTGGTCGAAAATGGCCATATCAGTGCACAACGGCCATTTTCGGCCCTCAGTACGCTGTTCCGGTGGCAGCGACGGCTGGCCGGGGTGGTGGTTTTAGGCGGCATGTGGCTGAGGGTGGTGGCTTGGGTGTGCTGTAATTTGTTTTGAATTCAAGGGTAATTTTGTCCAAAAAAATAATTAATTAGGGGTGAAATATTAAAAGCCATATTCATGTAAATAAATTTAAAGATAAGGGCACTATTGTCCTAAAATTTTATTAATAAAGGATAAAATTGTAACAAAAAAAGATAACCTTGATAATGTTAGAATATCTAAGAAAAAGGAGGTAATCAGATTACCTCAAATATTACCAATAATCACTACTTGGGGGGCGTTTGGTTCATGAATGTTAGATTACTGGGAATGTTGGATTACTGGAAAGATAGATTACCTTGGAAGATTACTGGGAATCTTTAGAAAAATATGTTTGGTTAGGTAGTGAGTATGTTATATTAATATGTTTGGTTATAGGGACCCCTTTTCAAATATTAATATAATATTATTTTTATTATTAATTTTTGAATTATTTCTTTTAACTCCCAATATTTCAGATTTAGTTAAAAAAACCCCGCTTATATAAAACTTTAATTTATTACGAAATCACCCCTACCACCTGCCGCCACCGCAGACCACCGCTGGAAGTCTCCGAAAGTCCACATCAACAGCTGACCGTGACCAAGAGGCTTCGATATGGCCGTTTCCGACCATATTGATGGTCGAAAACAGTCATATCAGGCCAGATCTGGTCGTTAGCGGCTAGATCTATTCCGGCCAGATCTCGTCTAGATCTGGCCATCAATATGGCCATTATCGAAGCCTCCCGGAGTTTCCCACTGAATCTCGTTCTTTTTTAGGGACTCCGGTGATTTTTCGGCGGCGGCCCATGGTGGTTGGGTGGCAGTGGTGGTGGTGGCTGGGTGGCAATGATGGTCTTTAAATTATTTTAAATATAAGGGCATTATTATCCAAAAATTTAATTAAACAAGGGTAAAACTGAAATAAGATATTAATGTAAATTTGTTTTAAAGTAGGGGTATTATTGTTTAAAATTTTTATTAATAAGGGATAAAATTGTAACAAAAAAAGATAACCCTGGTAATCTTAGAATACCTAAGAAAATGGAGGTAATCAGATTACCTCTGATATTACCAATAGTGGTTATTATTGGTATTTGAAGATTACCGGTATCTTATATTACTTGACAATCAAATATAGTAATCAAGTAATATATTACCCTAGTAATCCCATATAACCCCAACCAAACACCCCTTATTGGTATTTAAAGATTACTGGTATCTNCCCCCTATATTTAAAAACTTAGCAAAAACAACCCCATAATAAAAGTTTGGAAAATCAACAAAACACCTCCCACCAACCCAGCCACTGCCAGCAACCACCGTAGGTCGCCAACAACCTAACGGTGCAAGGAAGGCTGAAAATGGATGTCGTGTGCCGATATGGTTATTTCCGGCCAGATTGATTACGGATCTGACTGTCAACGGCCAGATATCTGGTAAAAAATGGCCATATCGGTGCACGACGGCCATTTTCGGCCTTCCGTACGCTGTTCCGGCGGCGGCGACGGCGACGGCTGGCCGAGGTGATGGTTTCCGGCGGCAGGTGGCTAGGGGTGGTGGCTTGGGTGTGCTATAATTTGTTTTGAATTCAAGGGTAATTTTGTCCAAAAAATTAATTAATTAGGGGTGAAATAGTAAAAGCCATATTCATGTAAATAAATTTAAAGATAAGGACATTATTGTCCTAAAATTTTATTAATAAGGGATAGAATTGTAACAAAAAAAGATAACCCTGATAATCTTAGAATATCTAAGAAAATGGACTGAATCTCGAAACCTCCCGGAGTCTCCCACTGAATCTCGTTCTTTTTTAGGGACTCCGGTGATTTTTTTATGGCGGCCCATGGTGGCTGGGTGGCAGCGGTGGTGGTGGCTGGGTGGCAATGGTGGTCTGTAAATTATTTTAAATATAAGGGCATTATTGTCCAAATTTTTAATTAAACAAGGGTAAAATTGAAATAGGATATTAATGTAAATTTGTTTTAAAGTAGGGGCATTATTATCCAAAATTTTTATTAATATGGGATAAAATTGTAACAAAAAAAGATAACCCTGGTAATCTCAGAATACCTAAGAAAATGGAGGCAATCAGATTACCTCCGATATTACCAATAGTAACTATTGGTATTTGAAGATTATCGGTATCTTATATTACTTGACAACCAAACATGGTAATCAAGTAATATAAGATGACATTACCCCAATAATCCCATATAATCTCTAACCAAACGCCCCCTATTGATATTTAAAGATTACTGGTATCTTATATTACTTGACAACCAAATATGGTAATAAAGCAATATAAGATGACTTAATCCCAGTAATCTCAAATACCCCATAACCAAACACCCCCTAAAAGAAAATGAAAATCTCAATTTTAACCTACTTAATTCGTGGTTAATATATATTATTGAACCATTATTTATCGTAAAATCAACATTGTAGAACATTCTTAATGGTTTGATATATAATTCACTTAATTACCATAACAGATTCAACATTAATCTTAATTACTCCTTACTCTCAGTTAATCAATTATGAATAAGTACGTATCTGATTTCTGTCATCCCCAGTTGGCAAAAATCTGATGCAACCCATTTTAGAATGAACCTAGTAAAGGCAAATCAATAACATGATCCTAATTTTTCTTTAAATCAAGAAATTAAATCTAATTTTCAATACAAAGTCTTTTTAGGCAATATTACTATTATTATTATTGTTTCTAATTATGGATTTCTCTACTTTTGGGATATAATATAAAATCCTGATAATATTATCCTAATTTTACAGGGCTATATGTAAATCTTGTATCGGTTAGTTTAGACTCTGATAGCCAGTAGTTGGTAACAGAATTTAAACAGTAAAAACAATTTTGGTTATTGGCTACTAATTAGTAATTAATCCCTCAAATTAGCCCAATAAACTTACATACCAATGTATCAGTAACTAATCCTCTTACTGTTATCCGAAGATTGTCTTGGGAATTCTATTCCTACCACTAACTAATCATCTTATTATTGTCTAAAGATTTAATAATTAACTAGATATTTAAAAAAAAAAAAAAAAATCTTCTAAAAGTTTAAAAATATTTATTATTTATCGTTTTAATATTTTTACTTTTACAAGCAGTATTATATTAGTATTAAAATAAAGAATATATTGGAGATACGCTAATACCATTTATAATATTGCTTGTAAAAATAAAATTAATTAGTTTATATTTGAAAAATAACACGTATTATCCTATTTAAAAAGAAATTAAANTATTATTGAACCATTATTTATCGTAAAATCAACATTGTAGAACATTCTTAATGGTTTGATATATAATTCACTTAATTACCATAACAGATTCAACATTAATCTTAATTACTCCTTAATCTCAGTTAATCAATTATGAATAAGTATGTATCTGATTTCTGTCATCCCCAGTTGGCAAAAATCTGATGCAACCCATTTTAGAATGAACCTAGTAAAGGCAAATCAATAACATGATCCTAATTTTTCTTTAAATCAAGAAATTAAATCTAATTTTCAATACAAAGTCTTTTTAGGCAATATTACTATTATTATTATTGTTTCTAATTATGGATTTCTCTACTTTTGGGATATAATATAAAATCCTGATAATATTATCCTAATTTTACAGGGCTATATGTAAATCTTGTATCGGTTAGTTTAGACTCTGATAGCCAGTAGTTGGTAACAGAATTTAAACAGTAAAAACAATTTTGGTTATTGGCTACTAATTAGTAATTAATCCCTCAAATTAGCCCAATAAACTTACATACCAATGTATCAGTAACTAATCCTCTTACTGTTATCCGAAGATTGTCTTGGGAATTCTATTTCTACCACTAACTAATCATCTTATTATTGTCTAAAGATTTAATAATTAACTAGATATTTAAAAAAAAAAAAAAAATCTTCTAAAAGTTTAAAAATATTTATTATTTATCGTTTTAATATATTTATTTTTACAAGCAGTATTATATTAGTATTAAAATAAAGAATATATTGGAGATACGCTAATACCATTTATAATATTGCTTGTAAAAATAAAATTAATTAGTTTATATTTGAAAAATAACACGTATTATCCTATTTAAAAAGAAATTAAATAGAATTATATTAGAAGTCGGTTTCGTAGAATTTTCTCAATCCAGCTGACGGCATTATTGGTTACTCTATAAATCCACGTGTATGTCCACAATGACTTTTTGAAGTCAAAGCCTCGCTCTCGTCCTCGACTCCTTAGTTAAATTCCTCTTTAAATAGGATGGCGTTGCATTTTTTCCTGAACCTTGATTGCATTGTTTCATCTTCTTCCTTATCTTTTTTTTTCTCTCTCTCTTCAATATCGTGATATAATACACATACTGCACCGATAATACAAGCTATAATGGGTACTCAAGGGCCGGGTGATTACAATTACAACCAAGCCAGCGTTAGTCTCTCTCTCTTTCGCTCTTTCTCTTTGTTCACAGCCCTTGTTGCCAGTGCAACTTTTCTCCAAGCCATATGCAGTTTTATTTTATGTATTTTAACATTACTGTTTTTTCTTTTGGGCTCTCGAGTTTTGTCATGATTTGGGGTTTACCGCTTTTCATCCTTCCACTTCTAGGCCGGTTGCATATAAAACTAGAAAATATGAAACTTTGAGTTATCTTTTCTATAATTATCGCTCTAATATTCTGAATCTTAGATTTGTTATACTCATAGTTACAGAACTTGAGAGAATGATTTTGCGCTCTGCAGATCAGTTTCTGAGTCTTTAACACTCACGTGATCTCGTGAACTGGCCGAAAGGCTCTCGTATTATCATTCTACAAATTTCTTTAAATAACTTTTTCTTTGTCACATAAGATGAAAACGAAAATTTTAGGGTAATATTTAATTTTATTGTTTCTGTATTAATTTCTCTGAGAAAAGTTTATGTACTTTCTACTGTTACTATATTGACTTATAACATAAGACATTTATTTCGCCAGATTAATTATAAAGATTTTGAACCTTTTTTTCTTTTAGTTTTATCGTAAAAAAAATAAACACATCTAACCCTCTTCTTACGGCAGCTCGTTCGACAGTTTTCCAAGCAACATGTTATGCTTTGGATCAAGTTGACCAGAGGAGTTTTTTGTCTTGTATAGACTTTCAAAGTTCAAAGTTCAAACCAAAACCATTGGCTGCTTTATTTATTTATTATTGATGATGCAATTTTTATTTTATTTTTCATCAACGTGTATGCAACTACGCCTCTTTTATACGATATATTTACGATATCATCCATGTGAACTCAGTTGGCAAGTTTATTTTATTTTCTCACTTCAATACGTGACGGCAACACTTATTCTTAAAAGTGTCTGAAAATGGCTTCCTCATTTGTGGTCTGACTTTTGAAGTCCAAATTGTAATTAAAAAATTTGAAATTAGGTTCCCCATATGTTTATTTACTCATTTATAGGTATTAAGTATATAGTTCTTGCTTGCCATAAATTTTGTTGAAGTTCGGGGCATGTTAGGTGAATGATTTGTGATTGATATTTACTTGCAAAATGGTGTAGGGCATCCCCACCTCCATCTATAAATTAAATACATCTTTACAAACTAAAGAAGTGATTCAGTAAGGACTTTGATGTAGTATTGGCACCTCTAAATATTAGTGATGGAGAAAAATAATAGAAAGGCCCATCTTTGTGTTGTAAGTTATATGGGTTGGTATCACTTTTTTTTCCCTTTAAAAGTGTTGGATCCCACTCCGAATTGACTGGGGGGATGTAGGCCTGAATTGTCTGTTTGTGATTTCTGAATTGGATATTGAAAGCCAATTAGTGACGACGGAAAAGTTGGCATATAACAGTTTGCTTTTTGGTTTATCCAATAAATTGTGATACCAATAACTCCTTATAAAAAGTGTTAGATATTTCAAAACATCAAAATTATTATTGACATGTTTTTTAGTAAAATACAAAACCCTTTTTCATGTTACACATATTAGTAAGTTCAAGAAATTTGATAGAAAAGATGTTACCTTTTTTCAGCCTCAAATGCTGTTTATTTGATTTATGGCCAAGTTGTTTACTTAATTATTTTGTTTGAGTTTTGTTGCATTTTTGTTTTCTAAATTAAAGGAAATGGTACTGTTGTCACTCACAGATTGATGATGAAAAATTAGCCCGGCAGAAGGCTATTGATGACTGGCTTCCTATTACTTCTTCAAGAAATGCAAAATGGTGGTATTCAGCTTTCCACAATGTCACTGCCATGGTTGGAGCTGGTGTTCTCAGTCTCCCTTATGCCATGTCAGAGCTTGGATGGTATGCTAAACTATTATCTTAATTGTGATTAACATTTTTAACATCGAGCTTGGTTTTAAGGGCTTGAAAACTTTTTTTTATAAATATATATTAAGTATTTTGTTTTTTCAGGGGTCCTGGGGTTGCAGTATTATTTTTGTCATGGATCATCACTCTGTATACTCTATGGCAAATGGTTGAGATGCACGAGATGGTTCCTGGAAAACGATTCGACAGATACCATGAACTGGGACAGTATGCCTTTGGGGAGAAGCTTGGCCTTTATATTGTGGTGCCACAACAACTTGTTGTTGAAATTAGTGTTGGCATTATTTACATGGTTACCGGAGGCCAATCCCTGAAGAAGTTCCATGATACCGTGTGCAGCTCCTGCAAAGACATCAAACTCACTTACTTCATCATGATATTTGCCTCTGTTCACTTTGTTCTCTGCCATCTTCCCAACTTCAACTCCATTTCTGGCGTCTCATTGGCCGCTGCTGTCATGTCCTTGAGGTACTCTCCTCTCTATTTTACATGCCATCAATTAAAGAAAATCGAATTTGACATGCTAACATGAGGTTTGATTTGTTTGTTGTAAAACAGTTACTCTACTATTGCTTGGGGTGCTTCAGTCCATAAGGGTGTGCAACCAGATGTTGACTATGGGTTCAAAGCTAAGTCAACAAGTGGACAAGTGTTTAACTTCTTTAGTGCCTTGGGGGATGTGGCTTTTGCTTATGCAGGCCACAATGTGGTGCTTGAGATTCAAGCAACAATTCCTTCTACACCTGAGAAACCATCAAAGGGTCCTATGTGGAAAGGAGTTGTCGTCGCTTACATAGTTATTGCCTTGTGCTACTTCCCTGTTGCTCTAATTGGTTATTGGATGTTTGGCAATTCTGTTGAAGATAACATCCTAATTTCCTTGGAAAAACCTGCCTGGCTTATAGCAATGGCTAACATGTTCGTTGTTGTTCATGTTATTGGAAGCTACCAGGTGAAACTCAAGCTTTCATAATTTATTCCTGTTTCGTTTCATACTCTCCAGTTCATTAATCAATATGCTTTTATTTGCATTAATGCAGATCTATGCAATGCCAGTGTTTGACATGTTAGAAACATTTTTGGTGAAGCAATTGAATTTCAAACCCAGCACCCCTCTTCGTTTTATTGTCCGCAATATATACGTTGGTAAGTAACTTCCCCAATCAAAATAAGATTGTTGTATTTCTTTATAAGAAGTGTAATTTGAATATAAAAAATGGTTTTATTATATACTTTATTACAGCATTCACAATGTTCGTCGGCATCACGTTCCCTTTCTTTGGAGGTCTACTTGGATTTTTTGGAGGATTTGCTTTTGCCCCAACAACATACTATGTAAGCTAAATTCTGCATCTATGTTATTTACAAATGATAATAAAATATTTTGTAGCATTTTACACCTCTGCTCTGTATCTCACTTATTCCTTTTTTAATGTCAGTTGCCCTGCATCATGTGGCTTGCCATCTACAAACCAAAGAGATACAGCTTATCTTGGTGGACTAACTGGGTACATGAATTAATCTGATCCACACTCCATTTTCCTTATTGTTTGTTTACTGGTTCTAATGTAAGTACATTTGATTTCATAGGTTTCAGATTTGCATTGTATTGGGTTTATGTTTGATGATCGTGTCACCTATTGGAGGATTGAGGTCAATCATAGTTTCGGCAAAGAATTACCAGTTCTACTCTTGAGTCAGTCACATCCTCAAAAGTGGTGATTGTTGGAATGCATATTTACAGAAGACTAATTGTTGAATCAAGGTTCTACTAGTACATATTATTCGGGCCTAGTAGATTGTCTTCAGATTTTTGGCTTGCTGTAGGTGTAATGCCAGCAAAAACTAATACCGTTGCCACAGGTCTAAGCTAAAGCGAAGTAGTTCGGCTTACCGCTGTTTCTACTTTTATTTTATTTTTGAAAGACTACGAGGAAATATTAGGCTAGTAGTTTCATATACATATATTTATACCTATTTGTTTATGTTTGTTCTGGTCAAAGACGGTGAATTACTTCTATTCCTACGTATGAATACATGTCAGTGTGCCGATTATATATTCTTGTCCTTAAATATGTGATCAACTGTAGTTCTTCCTTGCTTCTGCAATTGTATTGTAATGCGTTCTGGCTTAACTTGACCATTTGTTTCTGCAATTTTTAAATGACTTTCTCTGGTTAAGGCTACCAACAAACCAGCAAAGAGAATAAACATATATATATATTATCATTAATTCTGCCAAGTAATAAAACAGCAATACTTGTGAAATGAAGTATCAGATATAAAAGATTTGACCATACAGCTTACTGCTACTAAAAAAGTAAGAAACCAGTCAATTGAAAGACAGATATGCAGTTATTATTCTACTGTTTAAAGGCCAGCCGTTTTCAATTAGATTCCACCAATGTTTATATGACTGTTTCAAGGCCTGCCTTAGCNTTCTACTTTTATTTTATTTTTGAAAGACTACGAGGAAATATTAGGCTAGTAGTTTCATATACATATATTTATACCTATTTGTTTATGTTTGTTCTGGTCAAAGACGGTGAATTACTTCTATTCCTATGTATGAATACATGTCAGTGTGCCGATTATATATTCTTGTCCTTAAATATGTGATCAACTGTAGTTCTTCCTTGCTTCTGCAATTGTATTGTAATGCGTTCTGGCTTAACTTGACCATTTGTTTCTGCAATTTTTAAATGACTTTCTCTGGTTACGGCTACCAACAAACCAGCAAAGAGAATAAACATATATATATTATCATTAATTCTGCCAAGTAATAAAACAGCAATACTTGTGAAATGAAGTATCAGATATAAAAGATTTGACCATACAGCTTACTGCTACTAAAAAAGTAAGAAACCAGTCAATTGAAAGACAGATATGCAGTTATTATTCTACTGTTTAAAGGCCAGCCGTTTTCAATTAGATTCCACCAATGTTTATATGACTGTTTCAAGGCCTGCCTTAGCTTGTAGTGAAAATTCCAACATCTTCATGGTTGGCACTACTCTTATGTATTTTTCCAAACAGACAATATTAACCACCTTCTAAAGGAGGTCTCTACCAGAAAAACAATAATTGATCAAAACCAAACTGTACAAAGTTAATAGCTTGCCTGGAATTGATAATCACCTAGTTTAAACAACCTAAACGACAATGCTTCAAGGGTCTTTTTGTTTTATTTTTTATTTATTTATATGATTCTGGTACAGTATCATACTTTAGGAGTTAAGTCCATCGAATATCGACCGATAGCTATTTATCATCATCTAATGATTTAAACATGCTGGGGCTGAGAGCTAAGGTTACATGAACTCAAAATCTTAGCACCTTAAACTTATTACTTATCAAAAAAAAAAAAAAAAAAATTATGATATTTCGATTTTAATCGGACCAACATATCTGAATGAGGGCAAATTATAAACAAGAAACTTTGATGGTTACATAATGTAATATAACATAATATCGTTATTGAGTCACATCATTCATACGTTGCACAGAGAAAACTTGAGCATATATTCAACATCAGGTAAGTTCATTTCTTGCCAAGTGTGGGATGTAAACAACATACATTGAAGAGAATGGGGGAGTCACTTGGTCCTCTGAGGAAATGACATATTAAAGAATCTGTTCAGTACCAAGCAAGTTGAAGGTTGAAGTTAAGTGCAGTTTGTATATTCTGCTCTGTTTAAAATTAATAAGCTGACAAAAGAAACATACAAAGATAGCAATTGTAAATAAATTCAACTTGTATAGGTTCTGTCTCCATGCATGAGGGACGGCGATCTCATTTCAGTCATTTTCAAGTTCGATCTCTCCAAGTTTACTTGGCCTGCATATATTTTCTTCTTCTCTTTTGTGTTTCATTTTGCCTCTGGCCTGAAATTTACGCCCAGCACAACGCAATTATGGGTACTCAAGTTGAACAAACTGATCAAAAGGACTACGTGCCCCAAATTGTAAGTCTGTCATTCGTGCTCTCTCCCTCGCGCACACACACAAGAATAACTCTGAAGAATGAAGATGTGATATTATGGATATTTTGTGTTATTAATTTGACTTGGAGATGTCATATTATTAGCAGGTAGATGAACAGCTGAGGAAGCAGAAGGAGATTGATGATTGGCTACCAATCACTTCTTCAAGGAATGCAAAATGGTGGTACGCAGCTTTCCACAATGTTACTGCCATGGTTGGAGCTGGCGTCCTCAGTCTTCCTTATGCCATGGCAAATCTTGGATGGTATGTTCAACACAAAAGTTTGAATAGTTTTTCACAAAATTTCTAGATTATTTATTGAACCATTCAACCAAATTTAGTCTACTAAGGATACCAGTTTGTTGATAGAAGCAATCTCACTAATTCTTGGCAAGTTTTCTGTTTTAATTTCAGGGGTCCTGGTGTAGTGATACTGGTGCTATCATGGACCATCACTTTTTACACTCTATGGCAAATGGTTGAGATGCATGAGATGGTTCCTGGAAAACGGTTTGATCGATATCATGAGCTGGGACAGCATGCCTTTGGCGAGAAGTTGGGTCTATACATAGTGGTGCCCCAACAGCTCATCTGTGAAGTTGGCGTCGACATTGTCTACATGGTTACTGGAGGAAAATCACTCCAGAAGGTTCATGATTTAGTATGCAAAGGCTGCAAACCCATCAAAACAACTTATTTCATCATGATCTTCGCCTCTGTCCATTTTGTTCTCGCTCACCTACCTAACTTTAACTCCATCTCCGGTGTCTCTTTGGCTGCAGCAGTCATGTCTTTAAGGTGGGTTGTTTTGTTCATGTGCCAAATATGATTTGAGTTTTGTTTGGTTAAACATAACTTCATTTGATTTCATGTTTGTCCTGCAGTTATTCTACCATCGCGTGGGCAGCTTCCATCCACAAAGGACTCCAACGAAATGTGGAATATGGCTACACAGCCCCAACTCCATCGGACACAGTCTTCGGATTCTTTACTGCTTTAGGTGATGTAGCTTTTGCATATGCCGGCCACAATGTGGTCTTGGAGATTCAAGCCACAATCCCTTCAACACCAGAGAAGCCATCAAAGGGACCAATGTGGAATGGAGTTATCATTGCTTATATAGTTGTGGCTCTTTGCTACTTCCCAGTTGCACTTGTTGGATACTATATGTTTGGCAATGGAGTTGAAGACAACATTCTTATATCATTACAGAAACCCACATGGTTAATTGTAATGGCTAACATGTTTGTTGTCGTTCATGTTATTGGTAGCTATCAGGTGAGGTTTGTAAATTCTAGTCCTTTCTGCAGGTAGATTAGTAGAGTACTTGATGAAATATTGCTTTGTTTATGCAGCTCTATGCAATGCCAGTATTTGATATGTTAGAAACTGCGTTGGTAACTAAATTGCATTTCAAGCCCAGTACACCACTTCGTTTCATTACTCGCAATTTATATGTTGGTAAGGAAATTCATTCTCCTCATTGTGTTTCTTATGTTATCTACTTAGTAGCTTTTTGTTTAAAAAGCAATTTATGTTTGATTTCAGCCTTCACAATGTTTGTTGCCATCACCTTCCCTTTCTTTGGTGGACTTCTTGGATTCTTTGGAGGATTTGCTTTTGCCCCAACAACATACTTTGTAAGTCTTTCTAATTAATTTCCTGACAAATTGTGGTTAATTAAATTGTTCTTTTAATGGTAAATACTAATTTCTGTTTATCTTATCTCATTTAAGTCGATGGAACATAATACACCGAACGATATATGTTTGGTTTCTTCAAGTCGAATAGAACCACTACCAACTGGGTATGTTCTACTTACATTCATCAGATTCATGGATTCATATGCTGCTTTAAAACTCAACAAACTAGTGGATCTGATTTGGGTTCTTAATTTCAGATATGCATTATACTCGGTCTCCTGTTAATGATTCTATCACCTATTGGAGGGTTAAAGAATATCATAGATAAAGCCAAGGAGTACAAGTTCTACTCTTGACGGATCTGAGTTGCTACTTTCTGTGAAATCCTGTCATGGTTCAGGCGTGTGTATCATGGTGGAATAAGATGATAACGGTGAGGCTGAGGCATACTAATAATCAGCCATCTTTGTTATCAGTAAGACGTCTCTTGAGCATTTGTTACATTGCTTGTGTCTGGAGTTGGACGGCGCCAAGGAAAATCTCCTTGAGGCTTTTACAGTATATTCTTTTCTTGTGTCTTCACTGCATGTGTTAATGTGCATCGCTATGTTCCAGACTTTGGTCACTGCATTAAAGTGTTTATACAGACGTGTTACAATGTATATTACTACTTCAGTATTACGCTGGCATTTAGTTAACAAATTTTTCTGGGTTCTAATATTAGTAGTGTAATATGGCATGTGACAGATTGATCTCTGTTCTCTTTGTGCGATACAATAGCAGCAATGCGAATCGATTGGTTTCTCGCTAAACAGGTATCCACAATCTCAGTAACAGGGGAAGAGGGAATTGAATATTGGAATGGAATTAATAGGTATTAACCACTCATCTACTCTCAACTGTTAAGATTTTCATAGGAAATCATGGTTGTTAGAAGAACCCAATTGAATGTAATGGAGTCAAAGACACTTACCAGTAATCTACTCTCAACTGTTAAGATGTCAAGCAATCAGATTTATCATAGAAAGTCATGGCTGTCAAGGAAAACTACTCAAAAGCTGAAACTAGTAGGTGGGAAAGCCCAGACATATACATTCAAACCTTAACAACTCAAAGAAAATGAAAATAGCATCCATAGCATGTTACAGAAACCCACCCAAACCCTAACACAATGCTTACACTACACGATTGGATTCCCTTTAGTCCTTCAAAATTGGTGTAATTTGCAACCAATTCTTTGTTTTGGTTATTTTGAACTCTAGACATGCATAGAGAATAGTGGGTGTAAATCCTAAATTCCTAACTACAGCAAAATTCAGTAAAATGCTAACTCCAAATATCGAATAATGATATGAAAAAGGCTGTGGAAAAGCCTACTATGCAAGTGTGTGCCTTTTCTTTTAAAGCCTATAACATCTTTCACAAATCAATGCAGGTTAACTTTGAATTAGGTGACCCTAATGGGGGGCATACAATGACATTTTCTGCTGAAACTAAAACTGTTAGTCTAATACACGACCTCAAATCATTATGCCAGTTAGGGAGTTACTCACTCAGACAAAAGGTTCAAACCATAAATTCCGAACAACTTTTCATGAAACATGCTGATTCCATTCCGGAATCTTTAAGAGCTTGGCTTCAGCCCTTTCAAATATCTTCATCAACATAAACAAGCAAATACAACCAGTTCCTTAATGTTGAAGCATATATGCGAATGGAAACAGATCAATTAGATCTCCTAAAACATAATAGATTCATATATAATGCATGGAGACTTCCACAGCTAATATATGTAGGTTCATCAAAATATAAGTGTTACTTCATACTTATCTTAGAATTTTGCAGAACAACTACTTTGGTCATGGCACAGTCCACAACCACCCGACCCAACACAACTGATTTTTATTAAATTCTAGGTTACAGGACATGCAAGAAGAATAAATGATGCCAACAACTTGTCACAAAATCCAATAAGCAACTACACTTCCAGGCCAGTCCTAGCTGTATAATAAACGAAACCAAACCACTTGCACTGATCAAACTTCCAACTAGGCTACATAAAGAGTATTATATTATTGTTGGATATATATTTATTTTCACCTTATATGATCAATTGTAGGGACAGCAAAACAGCATAAGGCAAGACTTATATATCCAACTTAATAAGGTCCTAGTTTGAAACAATGAACAAGTAACTATGAGGAAAACAAAACTACCAAACTTATTAATTGAAAGTCATATTCGCATTAGCTAATAACACCTTATATCAAGAATGGAAATTCTAAAAGAATTGGGACACTCAACCAAAAACCGCATGAGCACCCATACTAAAAACCTGCTTAAATACTCCCAATATCAACTCAAGCATCAGAGTGCTTTCTGTGCTATTCATCCTCAATCAAGGAGAAACATTCAATCAAGAACCCAACCAACAATAAAAAATAAAAGCCTGTACCAAACAAGACCACAACTTCAACTTCAAAATAATGCAATTAATAACCAACTTTGTCAAATTCTTAAGAAATTTATTTTCCAATCCATCGATGCATAGAGCTGCCAGAAACACTCAAACCATTAACAAGCATATAATATAAATCAATTGAGAAACAATAAAAGCAAAATAAATAACGATAATTTCCTTTATATATAAATGTAATAAATAAAAGTTGAATATATCTATAAAATTTTCTTATCCAAACCTATCCTTTCTCTATACAACTGAACCCACAGACCCATAATCCACAAAATACTAACAGAAATAGCTGAAACAATCACAACCATCCAAGAAATCCAAATCCATTTAGGAATTACATTATCAGCCGCCCCACTCATAAACGACACACACATTTCATAAACAAATAACGGCCCGAAAACCCCTCTAACCACGCTATAAAACGCGTAAAACGGCGGCGACAATGTACGGTAAACTTTACCCGCCAACTCCACGTCATGCCGCCTGGCGCTCGCCAAAGTCCACGTGTTCTGGCACGCGCTCGTCACCTCCGCCAGAATCAACAAACTGAGAATAGCAAACGCGCCGTGAGCGACCAAGTACCTGCAGGTTACAAAGACAAAGAGAGTGGCCAAGTGGTGGCCAATGAAGAGAACATCGTGAGGGAAGAAGACAAGGTAGTGAACAAGATCGGCAATGAAGTAGGCAATGCTAAACTCGAGAACTAGATTCTGGGTTTTAGTATTTGGAGAAGAGAACCCGCGGGATTTGTCACCAAGTATAGCGATTAAGGCTAAAAAAACAGCGGGAGTACCGTGGAAGAAAGAGATGAGGCAACTGGATGCTTCGGGTCGGATCTTCGGGGCCCAGTTACGGAAAACACGAAAGTAAGCGATAAGGTAGATGGTGAAGAAGAGTAATAAGAAAATAAATAATTGGGTTTCCATTGAATTGAAATTACAAAAAATATAAGGAGAGATTAGGGTTTATAAAGAGGGTGAGTGGGTGAAATTTGTTGGGAAAATTGAGAATTGAAAATCTGAAAAATAAAAGAAAAAGGGTAAATGGGTCTAACAAGAATCGTAGTTCTCGAGGAGTCGAGAGCTCGAAAGAGCTCTTATTTATTAGGCTAAAGCGACTGTTTTGAGAAACATACACCGACTCTTTAAATGGGTGGCAATTTGTTTTTACGGTTTGTGTTCTGATAAATATAGATTTGAATGGACCTTGAGATTACATTTTAAAGTGTATTGATTATGACATTATGTAATTTGTATTGAATCTTAACCATCAAAAATGTTTTGATCTAATGGTTTAAAAATTATGTTATATTTTGTGTAAAAGAAAAAAGAAAAACAATTTTTATATACTTCATTAATCAGCCTGAGTGGTTAATTTGTGGGGAGGATAGGATAGGTAGAGGTTTGGCAAGGCAATTGTTCTGGAGTCTTGTATGTAACGACAATAACTGATGGGCAACCACCACACAACAGCTTTGAAAAATTATATTTTGACCCACAAAGGTTTTGAGGACTAAAAAGTGAAAGTGAAACACGTCGGTTTTGCCTTCATGTCGCGGGCTGATTGTGTGGCCTCGGGTTCAGGGTAAGATACGGTCAACCCTCAAAAAGTTGAATTTATTTGCTGACAGGTCCGCGCCTAAAGTAGAAACAACAACTACACTAAAAAAAAAAAAAAAAAAACACAACAGAATTGAAGTGCTTTTAAATTTTCTTTGTGCTTGTTACTAAAAACCCTAGAGAGTATCTCAGCAATTGCAGATCGCAACGCAATTTCGAAGTTTCTTTCAGGTGAGTCTAGTAACTCCTTAGAGAATAATCTTTAGGGATTTCAATTTTAAATCTTTGATTGTATTTGCGTTTCTATCGAGTTTGTCTCATATTGGTTGCTCAGAAACGGCGGGAAAATAGAGTAGAGAAGAAAGGAAAATTTTGAATGTTTATTCTTACTTTAACTTTTTTTTTTTTTTTTTAATTTAGAGAATTTCATCTGCAGAAAGTTAATTCGATGAATTAAAAATTTTGTTCTGGCATGTTGTTTTTGTTCAGAATGAAATGAAAAATATCAACTTGGAATTAGAGTGTCATAAGTAAAATAAGCGCATCAAAGCTTAGCTTGGAGGAACAACATGATCATTACATAAGAATAGTACGGGCAGCAGGCGGTAGATGTTGCAATGAAGGCGGAATTTATTCCTACCATTTCTGGGAAGGAAATGAAAAGAAAAGTGGTTGATTTTCATGGATTAGATGTATGCTGGATTTAGGTTTGGGGCCGGACCTGGGCTATATTCCCAAATTCACAGTTGCCTCATGTCTGATCGGGTTCAAATTTTTTAAATGATATCATCTAGTCTCATTAATGGCTTAAACTTATTGTATATTCATTCATAAATACTGTAGAAAACCCATCAAGCTGCTTATTCACTTGATTCTGAAACTTCATGTTTTCTTGATTGACTGTAGTTTTCTAGATTGGGAAATCACATGACATATGCTCGCTCTTTTACTCTTTCTAAGACCTTGTAAGTATGTTTTCTTATTTGCTTTTGCTAAAACTTTATTATGTATCATTTCTAGTGGGGTACTTAAATTTATGTTACTCTTAGCTTTCTGTTTTGGTGTTTGTGTGTGTGTCTGTTGGGTTGTTTGGAAACAATGAACTAACTGTACTTTCAACTACCCAACAATGAGAAACTTTAACATCAATTAAATTGTTCTCAAATATAGTTGAAATATTTTCATATTGAGGTCATTTTATCTAATATATAGCTGTTGAATTTTAGGAATTTTGGAGCTATATTACCTTGGCGGTCATTGAACTTTTACTTGAATCATCTACCAAATTGTTCTGTTAGGGCAATAAGGATGGAAAGCAATAACAATAACAATTGCAACCTAAGTGTTGGTAATACTGATTCAAGAGGTGCTTTGATAGTTCTAGAGGGTTTGGATAGATGTGGGAAGACTTCACAATCTGGTAAATTACTCTCATACTTGGAGGGTCTGGGTCACTCGGCTGAGTTATGGCGATTCCCTGACAGAACTACAAGTGTCGGGCAAATGATATCTGCTTATCTTTTGAATCAGTCGCAGTTGGATGATCACACAATTCATCTGCTCTTCAGTGCTAATCGTTGGGAGAAGAGGTGTGTCTCGATATCATGCATTGCTTATTATGTTTTACTTTAGAATATTATACACATAAGCTGATTTTTTTTGTTTGTGTATGTGTATGTATTTTATTGTTTTCGTTAGTAGTTTCTTTGCATGGGGCAGTCAGTTGTACTTAATGATAGTTCAAAGGCAGAAAACTGAATTGTGTATCTGGCATTGGGGTGGTTGTGAGGTGGGGCTGCCTTTACTTAGTTGATTCGAGAAGCCATTTTAGTGAATCCAATTATTTTGCTCCGTTTTTCTATTTCTGCTATCTTGGATAGATAGAAATCACTTCCAAGAGATTTGAATTTGTTGGTATTGACCATGTCCTCTTATTTGTGTAATAGCTACATGAGCTCTTGGGGGAGATGATTGTATGCTATGCAGGCCTCTTATAAACATTCATCTTTTTATTTTGGGTAGTAGTTGAGTGGAGTTTTGCCTTCAGGTGGGCATGGTGGCATACATGGTAATATTTCCATTTTCTGCTTCTCCATGTGGTGGTCTAGTAACAACAGGGTTATAGTGGAGCCATCTGTGCACTTGGTAGTTACGTTAGCTCCTTAGGTGTAATAATAAGTTTGGGTTTCCTGTAGCATGGACACTCAATAGTTTGCTATCATTTGAGGTGAAATTCTCTGACAAGTTTGTGGCTTTCTTAGGTTTGCAATACTCTAAACAGAACTAACTAAAAGTTATGAACACTAATTTTTCAGGTCAATGATGGAAACTAAACTGAAAGCTGGAACTACTCTAATTGTTGACCGTTACTCTTATTCTGGGGTGGCATTCTCCTCTGCCAAAGGAGTTGATGTTGAATGGTGTAAGGTGAAGAAAAGCAGAAAATGGTTTTACAAATAAACTTTTTGTTTGACATCTGTTAGATATTTAACGTGATTTTCTTTTGCAGGCGCCCGAAATGGGGTTGCTGGCTCCAGATGTGGTACTTTTCCTAGATATACCACCAGAGGTTAGTTGTTTATGTCAACTGTCTTATGTTTTGGATGATCAGAGGCAAATATCGTGACTTTTGCCCTGAATTTTACTTCCGAATTACATTTTGCCAGGCACCTTGCTCTTAGCTGTGCATTATTCATATTTTTGACCAAGAGATCTTTTTCTCTTTCTGAATATTTGTTTTGAGGCAGGCAAAGAAACTTTCTTGTCTGATGGCTAGGTTTTCCAACCAAGTTTCGTGAGAGACATCACAATAATCCCTGAATAAAGTGGTTTTATGTTTACTGTAAACAAATTAATGTGGTTTTATGACAATTCCTGGCAGTGAATACTTTGTAAGTCCATAGTTATTTTTTTCAAAAAGATGACTCATTCACCCATACACTGAAAAGTTTTGGCCTCATATATATAATTTTGGATTTTCTTTTTAACTTTTAATAAAGATGAGAAACCATTCGTGAAGCCATAGTGTTCATACAATGTTGGTGGAATTTTTGTTTGCACGAGATTATAGGTATTTAGTATCCAGAAAAAAGTCGGTGTAAGTAGCATCTTAGGGACAACCCAGCCATGTTCATTAACTTCAATTGATCATCATATTTTACTGCTGGAAAGTGGAACTTAATATTGTTTTTAAAGAAATTATCATGGAGCTTGTCATACAAATTAAACTATATCTCATCAAAGGCTGATGTGGAGGGGATTCATCCATAGTCCTCTCATTCCACAGAGTAACGTCTTATCAGCTAGACTGTCACCTGGAACATCACACTTGTGAGAATGCCTCTTTGGTGCATGCATTTTGGAGGTCTTATTTAGTTGGTACTTATTTCTTTCTAAAATCCTCTAGAACTGAAATGTTGCTTTAAAATTGTCAGAAAGCTGCTGAAAGAGGAGGCTATGGAGGTGAGAGATATGAGCACCTTGAGTTTCAAAAGAAAGTTGCCCAATGCTATCAGATCCTCCGTGATTCCTCCTGGAAGGTAATTTTTTGTTTTGTCTGAATGGAAAGGCTTGCATACTCTGCATCTTGGTTGTGAATAATGATTTTGTCCGTGGATCATACCACTTGAGCCTTTCACAAACTCTTGGCTTTTGGTGGCTGCAAACAAAAATTTCTGGTTTCTTTTATAATTTTACTGAATGTTGGTTAAACAAAGAAAAGCGACCACACAAGTGTCTGATCACCCTCATCAATGCACCTTATCATATGTCCGGTTCAAGTGCTTACCAAATACAAACTACTGAAAGACTACCAATAGGTGATATTTTTTGCCCATCTTTATAAACTTAAGATCTAACCCGTTTTAATCCGATGTGAGATCACAACACATAAAGTTAGAATTTGTTTTGTTTTCATGGGTGAGCAGTCGAAGTGCTAATCGCTGTTGTGATTGCAGATCATAGATGGCTGCCAAGGTATTGACGAAGTTGAGAAAGAGCTGCATGATATTGTAGTGGATCATGTCTTAGCTTGCAAAAAGGGGAAACCCCTTTCCCTCCTCTGGTCACCTTAGTTAATTCATGCTATCTTTTGTTCATGAAGAGAACGTGAAACAGGTATTGTCCCGAGCTTTTTTCGGGTGTTTTTCTCTCTGCAGAATCATTGATTACTCGACCGAAAAGCCATTGAGTTTCATATTCATATAATTTAATATTATGACTTTTTCATATTTCTGGGAATCTTAAGGTTATCCGAAATTATTGGTTAAGGAATACATTGCAGTTTCGTAATTTAATATGAAACAGTTAATTGTTTAATTCAATTAAAAAAGTGAGTAATTATGTGCTTCAAATGTCACCAGAGTTCTGCAATATGTGAAGGGTCCATGACCCTCGTGAATCACCTCTTTTATGGTTTATCACTTCATCTTAAATCTTACGGAGATGGTGGCCACCGTCTTCTGATGGCTGCGTATGTGGCGGTTCTAAACTTCTGAGTTTCACAAAAGAAAAAAAAAAAAAAAAAGATTATGTTATTTCTTTCATATAAAAATTACTGAATTAGCCTTCCCAATCTAACTGTTAACGTTAACAATACCCTATTTGAGGGACGTAAGCTTATATTTCCGTTTCGAAAAGGTTTTGAGTCTAACGTAGCTGTTTAAAAATGTTAACACCTCAGCTGGTATAAAGGTCATTACAGTAATTTTAATGAAAAATAAAAAAATTTCAATAATCAAAATCTCCGTCTATCTCAATATCTTTCTCTGGCTGAAAAAAGAAAAATATCGAAGCCCACCTTCTACTAAAACACGACCACCGCACCTGTGAATCCATGGATTTACAAACAGATCACGACACAATCACTATGTGCAAGTATGATTGCCGTCTGACCAACTTTCAGTTATATTATAAGATCTACCATGTTGAACAGTGAGCATGGACATGGATATGCTTATTATACTATACCTGTATTCTCTTTTTAATTAATAAAGTCCATTTTCATTGATGATTAATCGTTAATTGGTGAGACAAAACAACTCTCAACACCTCATAGTCTTAAGTGCCATTCAATTACAAAAAATTTCAAACTTACATTTTTTTATCAAAAACAAAAGCAAATTGTTTTATTAAAATTTATCAAAAAAAGATTTTCCGAAAGTACCTTTTTATTATTTTTAAAGCTTATAAATGTTTTAATTATATTTTTCTAAAAAATAAGTATTAATATATTATTTTTTATAAGACATAAACTCTTTTTTTTGTAGTATTGAATATAAATTTGATATTAAGAGTAGAATCATATAAAGTATAAACCCAATGTTGAAATGACACAACACTAACAGTGGTCGATTGCAAGAGATAGGGGGCACTGTAAAGTTTTAATCAACCAAAAGAATTTTCACGTTTTGATTTAAATATAAATATAAATAATACTATTTTGTACTTTAATTGATGTGACACTAATCACCTGTGTTTTCCCTCGCATTAATTATAAAAAAATGAGATTTTTATTTGGTAAATAATAGCTTTTTTTTTTTTTTTTTTTTTTTTTTTTTTTCTGTCTCCCAATAGTCAAGAAGGTTAATCTCAACTTTACATTGCAAATAAGTTCATTTCACTTGAAATCAGTTATCAATTGGGCAAGCATTATTCAATTACAATAATATTGTATTTATAAAATTTATATCTTAAATGTCACGGTTAATCAAATATAAACATTATCCACGTTATTAATAACTTGTAATAAAAAAATTTGAATATAAACTCTGTAAATGTGTGCATTCATAAAATTTATGCTAATGTAAATAAAATTTTAAACCAATGTATCTTATAATCTAGGCTAAGTTATATGACATTAATAGATTACTTATCATAACAGCCCGTTATTCATCCCAAATGATGTGTAATATAAATATTGTCAAATCATTTAATGCATTATTTGAGATGGGTAAATTTAGCTTAGTTTTCACCAAAACCTGATAAAATAAAGTCTTCACATGACTTAATATCCGATTGTCACAGGAAACTATATCTACATTTCTTAGTTTCAATCCCATACTAGTACGAATAATATATATATATAATAAATTTACACTTTGGACTTGTTCGCTGCTAGCTTCATCACTACTGCTTCTTGAAGGCATCGATTCCATGCATGATCACAAACCCTAATTGTCACATTAAAAAAATTGGTAAGCCAAATCTTTGTTCTATATTACACAATAAACAATGTTGTTTCATCTATGCACTAAATAAAAACAAGAGGTCAAAATCATCGTTACAAATTCTTTATACAAATTATGCTAGTTTGAAGGTAATAGTTTACATATGTAGTATATATTATTCTTTTTAATTTATATATACATATTGTTCATGGAAAAAGAAGTACACAACATAACAATTTTTAGCTAGAGATTAGATTGATTATATAAGAAATGCTCAAAATAACACTTAATATGCATATACATTCCATCTTTTTAAAACCTACTGAATATATCCTTTACTTATTCGGAAAAAATACAACCATCAAAGGTTATATATCGAATTCATGCATCGAATGATATGATAAAATCCTAATTGTCAATTAATATTGATCGACGGTCAAAATTTTATTACATTATTCGATACATAAATTTGGTGTATAATTGTAGCATAACTCTTACTTATTTTGTGGTGGTATATCTTTAGAGAGAACATATATTAGAATATATCATACATGGTCTAATCCGTCAATCATGGGATGCATCTTTGTTGCAAGTATTGACGTGACATCTGTCTTACTGTGTATCGGTAAGAGTTATTGATTTGCAATACTCTGGTATAAGTTTTGTTGGGTTGGATATATTCATCCCCTATTTTTATTCTTATATACAATTTTTTTAGGACATAAATACCATTGGGCTTTAATAAAATTACCCGACCACCGTCGCTAACTGTCACTGGCCGATAATGGAATGGCGCACAACCGACACCTGATCTATGGTAAAAAAAAGGCCACATATCTAGTTGTAAAATGATGACTGTTTTACGGCCACATCTTTGATCGTGAAAAGTTATAGATCTGAAAAGGCTTTACCGGTACACGACTAACCAGATCCAATCAGTCGTATGCCATTCCAACAGCGGCCAACGATGGTGGCTGGCTAGTTGTTGACAGTGACTTGGGGTAAATGGGGGTGATTTTGTTATAAATTAAAGTTTTATATGACTAAAGTGTTTTAACAAAATTTCAAATGTAGGGGTTAAAAAAAATAATTTAAAAAATAATATTATATTAATATTAAAAAAAAAGACAATTTAATAATCTTTATAACATATCTATCAATCTATCTTTCTAATCAAATATATTAATATAATATACCTACCAATTTATTTTAATCTAACCAAACACTAAGCCGCCGGAGCCACCAGAGCATCATCACTCAATCTTAATTACTAAACTTTTAATCATTGATGCCCCATGCCTAACTTAGATTCTCTATTCTATTTGATTTTTGTCACCACGTTTCAATTTTTGAGATATGGTCCATGCATTTGTTCGCTTACTTAACTTCCGTAATCAAGTCGCCAACGATTTAATTAATTACCTTCTTCTTCTTCTTCATATTTGGCATAATATAATATATTTCTAATATAACATATAGTATAGTCGAGATTACCTGATATTCCTTTTAGGTTGTTGATGATATATAAGGTTGGAGGCGTCTTCAACGTCCCAAACTCAGCGCAGCCTCAACGTCAAGCCGCCATGCAAATCCTCCACATTCCATTCTCCAAACATCACACGGCATTACCATCTTCTTCCAGTACTTTTCCTTCTTCCATGCGTACTCTACCCTCACTTTACACGTTAATGAACTGAATACCCATGGCAACTTCTCTTTCATCCCCAACAACACCACTATTGTCGTCCTCTCTTCTGAATCCTCACCTTCACCCTCACCCTCTTCCCTCACCCTCACCATCCTCCTATAAGCTCCATTCACCCACTTCACTTTGTTCAACCCGTCTGATATAAACCCCGGACACGTGTCATTCTCTAGATTCTTCATTATCTCAAAGTCCTCACTCCCCAACCCTCCCCTCCCATCCATGCATGTATCACCATCACTACTCATAACTCTCTCCACCGTCACCCACGTCTCCACCACTCTCCGGCCACCCATCTCCACCCTCTGATCTGCCAAACCTATCCCTCCCACTTCTTGAAACCCTTGATTTATTTTATTTTCAATTACCACCTTTTCTTTCTCTTTCTCAATCTCTATTCCCGTACCGTCGACATCAATATTGCACCACGGCTCTCTTCTTTTTGAATACTCTAAATCACCGCCCTCCGGCAACAACTGTAGCGTCACGATCTTATCGTCCAGCCCATCTTTATTACAACTTCCATGATGATCAGTACTCGTTTTGTTATTATTCTTTCTCCTGTAATCCCTATTCTTCCGAACTCTAACGTACTTTCTCTTAGATCTACCATTACTAATCATCAAGTTCTTGTTTACAGCTTGTAAGTTACCCGAAGCAGCACCTCCGGCAACCGGTTTCGGTGCAATCGGCCGGAATCCGAGCATTATTCTTTCGATAACCGTTTTATCCTGCGCAGCACCAGCCCGCGTTAGCATGCGCCACCTATCTTTAGCTTGAACTTCCATTTCCATCCACCAGAGCGTCTTTTTTCTCTCTAACTTTACTCTCTCTTGCAGTCTTTCTCAGTGTCTCAGACTCAGAGAGAGAGTTCAGGCGATAATCATAGCAGAAGTAGATATCCTTCGTCGTGAAAGCACCACGTGTCTAGGGCAACATTCGTAGCACTGGAAAGACATGAATTAAGAGGGCCCCTATACAAAGGTAACGTATCTGACATAATAGAACGGTAGCTCCGGTCCCACCCGTGTTGGCCAATCAGGGACGAGCTCGTGTCTTGCACTGGGTAAAAGTGGGTACACGTGGGCACTCTCTTGAAAATAGCGTACTATTACGTCAATTGTAAAATGAGAAAAATAAAAAAGGCGTTTAGGGGAGGTTCGAGAAACTGCACACGTGGTTCACTCTTATTAGGAACCAAGCATGTTCAATCCCATTCGCTCTTTTACTGCTTCCACTCGCTCCTCAGGGGCGTGTGCATCAAAAATCTAGGGAACGGCCTGACTGTTATTACAAATCTTTTGTTGACAGTCCTCGTCACATCAAAATTAAAAAAAAAAAGGAAATTTGTCGAAGAAAATATCTTTGCCCATTTTGTCTTGGAATAATTTATTTTTCTACAAATGAAAATAAAGAGAATAAAATGAAAAATATGGAAATGTGAGAATCAGGAATGTGTTGAGAGAGTGGGGGGTTATTGTAAGGTAGGATGAGGACACGTGGGTGGAGCCGTGGAGCAATGTGTAGGTAGCGTCATATGAAATCAAGCGGGGTTCCACGTGGTAACACAATGTGGTTTTGATTCAATCTCCAATTTATTCTAATGGGTCCTACACCTGGTCCAGTTAATGAGTGTTGTTTAGTTAAATTTATTAGTGGAATATAATTGGCTTCTCCTAACCAATCAAAACTTGAGAAGTTGAAAAGTTCACATCCTCTTTACATTATGGGACTTTTCCTTTTATCTTGCATTTTTCTATTTATGGTTTACGGGGGTGACCACGAGACCTATTAAAACCCACCACCACAAATACCACGGTCCCACTGCCCATACCCATCACCCTCAGATTTCACGTATCTACTATCTAAGGGCTATGATTTAATTGGTTGGGTTGGGTTGGATTGGTCTTCATAAACATTAATACTTATTTTTTTAAGTCAACAAGTTTCTATCAGACTAAGACATTGATAGCGTCTACACAAAATTGATGTAATTTTCATCCAATTACCCCGTCGTTTTTCTATTATTATAATATTAATAGCTCTAATCATATGATTATTTAATAGGTCCTCCAAAAAATTCATGCCATCTTCACATAAATATGACCATCACAATAAAAAAAAAATATCATACACTCTAAAGTATTTTATCATTTTATAGGCTTGTGGCATAAGAGATGAACAAAAATAATACTTCTGAGTTTGGGCTGTCCATATTTTTTTTGGACTGGGCCGAATTTGGGCTTCGGAAATCACCATGACCCAAATCATTATGATTTGATCGTCCGAACAGTGGATCTGCTCAAACAAACACCTGAGGTCCTCCTCTGACCATCCAAACAAACAGTGGATCTGACAGCAGATTGGTACGTTGGAGAGGGTGCGACTGCAACTACTCCGTTTGATGCCACGCCGACCGAACACCAGCCAAATCTCAATTATTGATTCGCTAAAGAATCTTTAGGTTCACCCCGGGAAACTTCGGATGTTGGAGGAGAAATGTATGCTGGAGAAGTAGAGTGCCTCCTGCGGAAAGATGGATTTTCTGGGTATAATCAAATCAAAATGCACCCGGACGACCTCTACAGATTTGCTCATTCCGCACCCCTTTCGGCATTTACTCTTATCTAATCATGCCCTTCAGGTTAAAGAATGCAGGAGCAACAACTCTCCAGGGGATGACGCAAATCTTCAGAGAGATGTTGCATAAAACCGTAGAATGCTGCGTATGACCTGGCCGCAAAAAGCACTTTCTAAAAAAATGCAAAAGTGTAATACTTGTTTGGGGAAACGTTAAGAAGCAGGTCGGTATGTTCCCTGAATGAAAACAAGCTTTTGTTAATTATATATTTATCTATTTATTGTATGAATATCAAATTCTTTCCGTTTATGTTTGAAGAACTGCGTGCGGCAACTTCACATCCTTAATCGTTTTAACTCTCTGTTGTAGAAATATCTGCAAGTACTAATACAATATTCACGTTTGGAAATCATGTTATTTACGTGTTTACTAATTTTGCGCTGGATAACTTGGAATCGACATTCATTTTGGTTCTCAGTTAGAGCACGAATTTTAGAAATTGAAGTGTTTTGATAGTTGTTATAGAATGATAATTAATAAAATCCGGGCTTTTTTTTTTAATACAATGTATTGTTGATTATTCTCTTATTAACATGTTATCTATCTCATATATTGCAATGAAGTAGAAAATACTTAATAATTAGCAACAAGTGGGATCATAAGTACAGGGGAAATTTTTTGGCATTACATAGCTGGAATGTTTTGAAACAGGATTGCAGCTGCAGCTGTGAATTTAAATTGACATTAAAGGGTTAAAAAGTTGATGGGTTGCAGTAACTGTAAAAAAAAAAAAATGTTAGTTTGTTTTGAGATAGTGAATTAGCTGACAGTATAAATCTTGCAACTATGCTTGTAGCTTTTATTGAACAAAGTCTATATTCCATTGTTGTCTTTGTCAAAGTAACTTTTTATTTATTTATTTATTTTTTTGGCAAATGTATATACAGTTGGAAAGTGTCACTGAATAGGGTATTCTAAATTGTAGAGCTAAAGATTACTGCATATGGAGAAGCTTCTAATTGTGCAATCATCTTTGCATTTCTAGAGTTTCTTTAAATATGATAGAGTACATTCTGATGCTTAGGACTAGAAANTTGGAACCCAGTGCAAGTATGCAATGGATTTCTTGTAAAAAGCTGGTCTTTCTGCATGCAAACCGGAACAAGATCTCAAATTAGCCTCAGATGCAGGAGAGCTATTGGATGACCCATCTACAACCAGGAGATGGGATGGGAGCCTTATCTACCTGACTAATTATCGCCCAGACATTGCTTACTCCGTGGGAGTGATCAGCCGATTTATGGACAAGCCGAGATCATCTCACTTAGAAGCTTTTTCGGATTCTGCGATACATCAAAACCTCGCCGGGAAGAGGTTGATTCTTGCCTACGTCATCCTCTCTTCAGCTGTCTTGTTACTCTTATACTGATTTCATTAAGGCAGTAGATTATTCTGATTGGATTTCGAACATCATCCCAGTGCCCAAGAAAGACGGAAAGGTTCGAATGTGCGTTGATAGTCGGGCCATCAACAAAATTACCAAAAAATATCGATTCCCCTTAGATATGTTGTCTGGATCGCGTGTGTTTTCGAAGATTGATCTGAGAAGTGGTAATCATCAGATTAGAATCCGACGGGGGGATGAACGGAAAACCGCCTTTAAGACGAGGGATGGGACTTTTCGAGGCCTATCAACCCTAGTACTTTCATGAGGATGATGAATCAGGTGCTTCGGCTTGATTTCGAAGAAGAGGCAAATTTTTGGTCGTTTATTTCGACGACATTCTAATTGTTAGTGTGGATCAGAATGAACACCTGAATCATGTACAATGTGTACTGGAAGTCTTGCGACGGGATAAACTGTATATCAATTTGCAGAAGTGCTCGTTCATGCAAAAAAAAGAGTTTGTGATCACCTCAGATGGAGTTGAGGTAGACAAGGAAAAGATACGGGCCATAGTTGAGCGGCCTACACCAAAGTCTCTTACGGAAGTTCGAAGCTTCCATGGACTAGCTACTTTCTACAGGCGCCTCATCAAGAACTTTAGCAGCCAACTAGCTCCCGATTGTCTGAAACAAAATCGGTTCGAATGGACCAAGGAAGCAGAAAGTTGTTTTCTCCATCTCAACAGCCCCTGTATTGGCCTTACCCGATTTCTCAAAGGTATTCGAAGTGCCCTTATGTCACGTAAGCATTGGAGTGGTGCTTAGCCAAGAAGGTAGACCAATTGCCTTTTACAGCGAGAAATTGAATGAGGTTCGACATCATAGGTCGAATTTTATGCTATTGTCCAGGCCTTACGACAGTGGAGACACTATTTTATTTCAAAGGGGATATTTTTTCCCTGCTCTTCCAATTTATCAATGCACAAAAGAAGTTGAATAGCAAACATGCAAAATGGGTTTCATTTTTTTTTTTACTAAAACGCACAGGAAACAAAATCAAGTTGCTGATGCACTAAGCAGAAGGCTATCTCTTTTAGGAGCTATGTCTGTCAAAGCTGTTGGGTTCAAGGCTATTAAAGGTCAGTACAAGATGGATCCTTATTTCAGCTCGATTCTGAAGCAGTGCGAGCTGCATACTGGTGGTCCAGGGTTTTATTCTTTTCTTAAAGAAGGATTTCTCTCCAACCTTTTCTATCCATCCTTAGAAGTAGGGCAAGGGAAAACCTACAAATACAAAGGTGGACACCCGAAATTCAATGAAGGAAGAATAGTAAGTACTATATGGGAAAGTCAAATATCTCTTAAAAGAAGCAAAAAATCTAACTAAGAAGGAAAACAAGACACCCCGCCTGCTTGGAAAGAAGGATAGATTGATTCACCTAGCCGGGAGGACGGAAAGGACAGAGATATAAAGCAATATAGCCTGTTCAGAAAGGAAAGCACATCTCGCATCGCATACCGGATATCTCATACCTACTTGAGAAAGAGTATCGGATATCGCATATCGAAGACACCTGCCGCTGACCTGTCCTATCTTAGAAAACGATATCATCAAAAAAACACGAAAGGGATATGGGTTTTCTTACCGCTTGACTTGCTTCTAGGCTTAGGGAGAAAGGCGCATCGCATGGGTTCCAGACCTTGCTTGTTTCTAGAATTGAGAATCTCTCCTCTGATTACAAAAAAGATTTTTTAAGAAAATTGGAAAGTTGATCTATGGAACTCGAATTCAAGGCTTGCTATGAGACCTGCATGCAAGTCTTCAATATATATTTAATACACTCCCAAATCTCTTGAGAATCTCCTTGCAGCGAGCGCTGTTTTCTTTTTCGACTCTTAGGATTTTCCAGTAGAAAGTCTTATGAGAAGAATTCAGTTTCATAGAGCTGAATAGGCAGCTGGAAGTCAACAACAAAGATCTGTTTTCTGCTTCCGCGGTCGAATTTACGATCCTCGGCCGTGTTTCCATTCTGCCTATGCGAATTAACCTCAGTGCTTCCAATTGTTTGATTTTTTTTCCCAATTAGGCAACAGAGGAAAAGGCTGCCCAGCCAACGAAATTGACCGAAATACATTATTTC